CCCCAAAACCCCAAAACCCCAAAACCCCAAAACCCCGTTTTTATATTTTCATATTGAAAGAAGGTAATGTAAATATACTCAACTTTCAAAGAAGCCTAACTTTAAATTGGCTGTTTTGGTGACCATGAGCTAGATAATCAAGTCTTTGTTATTTTGTATCCTTCTAGCACCTTTCTATATTGAATGTTTATACCGATTTCAGGAGCATTTATCCCTACTGCTAAATCATATGCCTCCTTAACAAAGAGAGTATCTAAGTATTATTTAATTTAAACAAAAACTATCCTCTAAGCTCTAAGGAAAATACTACCATCACAATAAATTTCGGTTTGGTGCTCCTACTAATGACCTTTTCAGACTTATGACTTGTTACTGTTTTGCTAAGAGAAGAAAGTCTCTATAAAAATAAGACAGGAATATACTTTAGAGCATTTTAATTTGAGAGCTAGCAGCATTGTTTTAATCATATTTTGTATTCTAAGCGATTGAGAGTCATTGTTCTTTTTAATCGATTGCTTTTGTAAAGTCATTTGGGTTGCTTTTTGGTTTACTTCAAGAGTATTCCTCACTGGTTCTCATGAGTTTATTCTAAGTTTTGTCTCTTTATTTATGCCAGGGTGTTCATGAGTTATCTTTTTGTTCTGAACAGCGATTTTAGGATGAACTGCTGATCTTTTGATAAACTTTACAATTTCTATTTTCTTTTTCAGCATATTCTTGCTGTTCAATTTTATAGGAGTGGTATTCAAGGAGAATCTTCTGTTGTCAATTGTATTGTAGTCTTTTCCCAAAGGAGTCAATTGGACTATCTCGCTCACTATATTGAAGAAATCTATTTGCTTTCTCATGATGATGGATAAAATTTGAATCATTTAGCACTATTATCTAATTTGAATCTGTAATACAACATACTCATCAAAACTAATGTGCTTCTAATTATCTCCTTCATATATGATAAACTAAATAAAACCTTCTTCTAATTAACAGCCTTAGAGTTCTTGTTTGAGTTCATTATGAATAATCTTGATTCATTGTTTGCAAAAATAACTTTAGAAGGAGGATTCAAGCCAGCTCTAATAGATAAGTGAGTGCTTTTGTATTTTAGACGAGCTCTAAGAATAAATAAGCAAAAGTCTTTAGAGAAATGGACAATTATAGCTATGTCTAATTGCCAAAATCAGCCAAATGTTAATAAACTCTTGGACTAGTTTTAAACTCATTTCTTTGCGCATAGATAAATTTTCCTTATCACAAAATGTTTGTAAATTAGAACTCCTCTAAGAAGTTTAGATAAGACGTAGCAATGCTATAAATACTGGCTTTTCAGCTCTATTTTCTTCAAAAGCTAAAAATAAATTGTCTACCATAGGCGGTTGGTTCATAATAACTATGTTGTACCTCCATCATCAATGTTATCAACAGAGAGTATTTCTAAATATGAGAGGAAAGTTTACGCTTTGTTTTATCTAAAGTCTTCTTGTCAAGCCAAACTCTTTTTATTTTATTTTTATTCTTTTTGAGTTTGATATGAGAACGAGTTTTTAATCAATAAACTTTATTTCTCTTCATCCTTTTTGTCTGGCAAGTCAACCTCTTGTTGCATTTTTGCCTTCTTCGGGCATAGATCTCGGGAAATATAGAAATGAAGTGTCTTTAATTTCTGTCTGGACAACTCTGAAGTTCCAAAAAGATTGAAGAATAGTAGATTCTTCGAAGATATTTTACTCAAATGAGACTCTTTGGCATAAATATCGATCAGTTTATCTTTTAAGTCTTGAGAGCAACTTTCCGATTTGTTTCCTGCTATGTAATCTCAAAAATACCTTTTAGGTCATTAGAATTCTTAAGCGCCGTCCGTGGATGATTATTTTTCTTGTATTTTAGCTTGCCTATTTCATAGCCTATTGATCCTATTTGTACACTGGAGGCTTTGAGCTTGACAATTTTATATATTCTATTTTGGAATGATTAACAACTCATTCCAAAGAGTATTCGTGATTTGATAAAATTTAGGTTGATTACTTTTCTTCTCGAGACTGATAGAGTTAGTTTCGTTCACAAATTTATGAAATAACGGTTCACTTTCAGTGGTATGGATGAATTTAGCTCTAATGTCTGCTGCTTTTGAGGTTCTATATTATAATTTTGCTCATTACTTGATTGGTGAGATTTTAGGAATCACTCTTGAGTACTTAAGCGTATCGCTTAAATTGTTTTTCTTTACCTCACCACCAATGGTAAAGAAATGCTCATTATGTCTTATATCACTCTCTTTGAGTCCATCCTTTAAAGAGATGGATTTCTCTATTAGAAGAATAATTTCTCTTTGTAAGTTACAACAAAGGTAATTATTAGGATGATAAATAGTAAAATATTTTTTGACAAAATTTTAGAAATACTTTGGAGGTTAAGCAACTCCTCTGGAGGATTTTGAAATTTAGTCTTATAATCTCTCTGTTTATTATGGAGAATAGCATAACTTGAGCTTATCTATAAACAATCAGATAAGAAGAAACAGTGAAGTACTCTTTTGTGACTAGTTGAAATTATCTTGGACTTTCTGACTTTCATATTATTTATATAAATATTTTGGGGTTTTGGGGTTTTGGGGTTTTGGGGTTTTGGGG